AAACTTTGACGATGCGATACGGTTACGAAACTGTCGAAGATTCGTGCTTGGGCCCCTGAGCTGTCTGCATGCAGCGGTTTTCCGCGACCATTAATAGATCGATACTTAGGGAACCTTTGCGCTCGAACAGCCAAAGCTTCTCCTCCCTATATGTCCCGCCCACTGCCACTTCAGCTGAGCTGTCAGTCGACATCTTTCCAGCTAAATGTTGATATTCAATGTGCCTTTTACAAAACGGTGATCGCATCCCGTTTTGTCGGCAATGATCACAGAGACATCATTGAATATGTACCTCTTCGTCGACATGATAAGTTCAATCTCATTTTTCATTTTACAGTCAGGACTCACTCAGGTCCTTTTCTGATTTTGGGGCTTCCTGAAGAATGAGCTCATCATAAAGAGGTTCTCCATCTCCATGAAGTCAACTAACATCCGTCCTCTGCCGATCCTTTGCTGCTCCAATTTGCAACAACTCCAAATTGCCCCACTCTCAAATCATCACCACAACGCTTCCCCAACCGGGCGTTGAAGTCCTCATACATAGCCTCCACTTCGTCATCTGGATGTGTCGAGGTCGGAGCGTAATCCAGAATGACATTCAACGAATATCTTTTCGATACTCTTAGTATCAGTTACACACTTCCGATGGTTATCATATTATTGACGGTAAGACTTATGGATGATAAACCCGACACCGGGACTGTTCGCCCTCCCGGTAATATAGTAAGTTACCAGAATTGAGGATTATCGAGTCTTCTCCCTCTCTTAGGACTTCAGATAGACCGATAACATTTCAGCATAACTTACTAATATATTCTGAGTCAAGGTATACATTTTTATAACGGATTCCCATTGAATTTCTTGATTAGCCTCTAAATGTATTTAATATATAAAAATTAAAAATAGCTTCCTTATATTGTTAAACAATATTTGAATGATAAAACTGATTGGTCATAATTTTAACCTTCAGAAAATTTACAAGTTTTATTAAACTTGTATCCTCAAGAGGAGTATTGAAGCGAACCTTTCACTTAGACTCTTTTATATACTTGCTCATGTATTTTGAAAATTATTATCTTAATGTTTCTGGATTTTTGTTATTTATATTGTTACGTATTGTACAGTTTGTGATGGAAGTTGACCTCAATACATGTTTATAAGTTTGATGTCAGCTTTCAATTTGACGACTCTGCATGAAATACAACAGGGAGAAAAAAGCAGCCCTTGCTGAGTTTCTTGTCGGTTTTCTTTTTTTCCGTTCATTTCTTCACCGTTCATACACACATACTCGAATGGGAAATTTAACTTTAAGAAATACACATGTGATTAGTTATGCGATCCCAGAATTTCGGGGTTTTATTTTTAATAAAGATATCCTAAAAAGCCGCATTTATTTTATAGTTAGGTTCGGCCAATAACTCCACCCCACCTGATGCTAAGTGACGGTGAAGTCCAGACGTGAAGACAGCTGGTACAGCAATTCTACCTGCCACAACAGCCATCTTCACCTTGCCGGCCTGCATGTTGCTTCTTCACACCTCTTCTAAAGGATCCCAGGTTTTAAGAAGGACGGAACACGTGAGCAGGGATCAATGAGTCATCAAATTTCTTGGTACGCGTTGGAATTGTGGACACAGTTAAACGATGACATCGTAGGCCAGCGCGCGTAGTCGTCTGATGGAAAGGGGAAGGTGGAATAAGAGAGCATAACTCCTCAGAACACTCGCCGTGATACAGACGATAGAACACGCTTTGTGACGCCACGTCACGGCGTAATTGATGAGGCTCGAGGTAAACACCTCGATAGTCACCTCCTCATCGACTATGATGCGGATCGCGCGCCGCTGTAACCTATCCAAAGCATCGAGCAAGTACTTGGCGGAGTCATCCCAGAGGTGCGAGCAATATTCCACGCAAGACCGCACATGCTGCATACAACAAGCACAGTTGCTCTGGCGTGAAAAAACGCCGCACCTTGTTCAGGACCCCGAGTTTACGTGAGGCCGTTTTTACCACGCTTTCGATGTAATTCTTAGGATTTAAGTCACAACGAATTTCCATACCGAGCATGGTGATACTGCTCTCTAGCTCCAGTGTTGTGTCCCAAAGAGAAATGCATGTAAGGAACGTTTTTCCAGTGAAAGCGCAGACCTGGGTTTTCTTAGCATTGAACTCAACCAAGTTCTTGGCACCCCATTCAGACATGTGGTCCAAAGCCTGATTGAATTCAATGACAAGATTCTCCCGTTTTTCCTTGGTTACCGCCTGTCTAGCCGCTGCTTGTCCGATGCGGGCTATCCCGCATGCACTCTCATCACACTATCGTCTGCATAGCATGAATATTCCCAAGAGGAATTAAGTCTAAGGATACGAATTCTACGCTCATGCAGTAAGTCAGCTACACAGGAACAGAACTTGGCTTGCAGACCGTATGCCGGAAGCTTGGAGACAAGGCTTTTGTGCCAGCCCCTCTGGAACGCCTTGGCAATGTTAAGGCTGATAGCCAGATATGAGTCAAGTACGCTAGAATTCGTGCTGTAGCTCTATAGATTGCAAATCGGCGCGAACCTCACGCTGTCTGATTTTAATATCAGGCATCGTTATGCCACAATGAGGTAATGATGGTGGCAGTGCATTGCAATCATCGATTCGGGAGTTAACCGCAAAGAGTTTTACCAGTAAATCGGCTTTTTCTTTTGGCTTATGAGCTAGTGTTCATCTCAGAGGTGGCAGCGAGGGCTGGCAGAAGTTCTTCTGCATTGCCTTGGTCAAACGCCAGTAGCTACGAGAGCCCGTAGGGTGCGTTATAAGTTCCTGACCAACACGTGCAACACGCTGGGCATTTAAGCCTTCCTACAGGCCTTGGAAGCAAAATTGTAATCTACTTTCAGTGAATCAACCCCGGGATCCTTAAGACCACGGCCTCTGATCCAAGCACGATATGCCGCTTGCTTACGCGAAACAGCTTCAGCACAGTCGCGATTGAACCAGAGGTTGTGAGGCTACACTCAAACACGTGTGCCCTTTCTGATGAGATTAGAATGAGGAATACAGTATTCCATACCCATTGTAATCTCCTCAGTAATAGTATCGGCACTGGCCGATAGGTCCCTATCATTGAAGCAGCGCTGCTTACAAGGCACGGACGCAAAGTAGTTACGCATACCGTCCCATAGTGCCAGATACGGCGTTTGACCACCGCTGGACTATATCCTGGGTGAGAGGAGGTTTGTGGACCTGTGGTGATTTGGCAAATATAACAGTGATCCGACGAGCCCAGGAGGGCTCTTACCACAACCTGACAGCCCTGTGGATGGGTCGTGAGCAGAAGGTCCAGTAAAGAAGGCGCTTGACTTGGAATATCTGGGATCCTGGTGGACTTATCATACAGTTGCTTCATGCGTGAGCAGAGATCCCTGCATGGTCAGTTTTGGAGAAACTTAACCACAAATTGTGGTGAGCATTAGTCCCTCAAAAACACGATACCAATTCTGCATTGGCAAATTGTTCCTGCGTGTCACCTGCTGCCCGACGAAGGTGTTCAAAAAGTCGAGTTATCTCTACATCGCCAGTGTGGCTCCCTTAAACTCTGCCCAGGGGACCAGAGTCGACGTGTACCCCCAGCATGGAGAAGGAGGATCTTTCAAGCAGCGGAGACGGCAACAACAATCATCCGCCCGAACATACAGTCATACACCGGCTTTCGCTTTTTAGGACTCTTCAAGCACGTAGCCGGGATAGTTCAGGTAGCCTGTGTCAGCAGGCGGAAGTATTTATGTCTCCGTCAGGATCAACAACGTTGGCCGTGCTGTCTCAAGATGGTGGAGGACAGCGTTGAGGTTAGAATGGAGTCCGCGTATGTTGCAGAACTCGACCTCAAACAGCGTTGAAGGCGTGGGGTGTGCACCGCTGTAAGTCCAAACTTTCTTTTAGGGGCTGCCATGATAGAGGTGAAAAAGAGACGTGAAACAAGCGGACGTTGTTGCGACAGGACCGGGCAAATTAGGGAGGTTGTTATCCGACCCGCCAGACGGAATGGAATCAATCCCCTGGGACCCCACGCCCCGGTCACCAACCGGTACGATGGTCCACCCCGAGATGATGCATGGCATGATGGGGCAGCCTCGCGAACTGATAAGGAATGTCCAGGCCCCTGTACTGTGCCACGGGCGGCCAGCGGGACAGCCATTTCTACGGGTCTCCCTGGGCGGCATGTCGATGGAGTCTTTCCGGCATTGGTTCGACGAATGCTTCCCCACCGAACTGAGGCGGCAACCCCCACTTGAGCTCTGGTTGTACTGGCTGATCCCGAAACGCGTGAGAATCACTTCACGGGTTTTTCACCATGCGCACGGTAACAAACCAGGCGGGTGGGTGTTAGGCACCTTCCACCAGAAGAGCTGATGGAAGCTCCAATATGCACGCATGGACTAATAATAATTTAGAAGCCAATAACAAAAAATAACTTAAGATAAATATGCATCAGATTAACTCTCATGATGATACAAATAGAATTGTTGGTGATTCAGAATTAAATTTGTTTACTGCAAGGGCATGTGGTTATTGCTTAGTTCATATTTGACTACAGAAAAGAGAATATACATGTAATTCAAATAAGGCTCAGATATCTATTATATGAATTCTTCCATCAATATGTCTTTACTATAAAAAATCAACTCAGCCCCACTGCAGCTGGATTCAAACCATGCCTTATGCTATCCTGAAAAATACACTGACAACTACTATGCTACCAAGACCATAATGGATGTTAATATATCTTTGGCTGGTACTTCTTCACATTACAGGCAACTAAAATCTTTACTTTTACAAGTTTCAAACATTTGAAAAAAGTAATTGCAATGTTGGTTATACTATCTTTTGATTTGGGCATTCTTCAAGTATCATTTTTTTAAAAGACAAAACAAAAGTTTTGTGTTTAAAACAAAAGTATGACTGTAAGAGTGTGGCCTTAAACCTAAAATATACTGATATACACTTACCTGATTTCTTATAGCTGGAACAGGAGTAAGACCGAGCTGATTTTGACCTTGCTGCAGGAACTGGTTAGTCCCCGGTGCAAGCATTCCAGCCTGACTTAAATACATAAGATGTTCTGCACTTTTTCCAATGCCATTCATAGCTTGCATAGGAGTTCCAGGGTGTTGGTGAATGTCATATAATCCTTGTTGGCCCAATTGGGCATTTTGCATGCCTTGAAGAGGTTGAAGCATCATAGCACTATTTTGTATAGCCATGTTGTTTCCTAAGGTATGATTTTGCAGAGGTGCCAATTGAGTATGAACCATGTTTGTAGCAAGATGAGCCGGATGACTTCCAATAACAGATGGGTTTATAGCTAAGGTTCCAACAGAAGAAGCTATAGCTTGATTAATAAATTGCTGTTGATTTGTTTGTGAATTCTTTAGTTGCACAGCAGGACCTTGATGCTGCATATTATTCATAGTAATTGTTGTAGGATTCTTCCATTTATCTTGATTCTGAAATGATAACATACACACATCAAACTTATATCCCAGCCAATATTATGAAAATCTCACTGTCCAATAAAGGCATCTTATTGCTAACATGTACCAGAATCCTCCACTGGGATCAGTTCTCTAAACCTAAACATAAATTTGACAACAGTGTATTGTTGTCATTCTCTATACAGAATGGAAAGGAGAGACTGATGTTAAATATAGTTTTAAATTTAAAGAAATATGCCAGAATTGACACCATTGTATAAAGTATACAATTCTGTAAACAGAAATTTTAGTAAGTTAGGTTATGTTTGCAAATAAGCGACTCTAAACAATACTGTTTATTACACTCACTTCTGTCAGTGGATCTTCGCCGACTGCCCAGCGTTGTTTAGGAGTTAAAGAAGGTAACTCAGCTTCTTGAGACTCTCGTTGAAACACATAATGACCAGTGGCATCGTCCTGGGTACGAGTCTGTGGGGCGCGAGCGCTTTGCAAGCTTGCTTCGCCCGCCTCTTCTTCCGCTCCCGTACCCGGCCACTTCATTGGGCTACCGTGAGGCTCAAGCATTCAGTTTCACTGCACTTCTGTTCACCGTAATGACAAACAAATCCTTCAATCTTCTGTGTATATAGCTATATAGCGTTACTTCAAAGTCTAATCGAGATAGGATTAAACCGTAATCGATTTACATGATCAAGGAAAAATTAACGATAAACAGATCTGGATATTAGGCATTTAGCTAATAGTAGTAAGCAGTCTTTTTGTCTTTGTATGACAGTTGAGAGTTTTATCGAAACACGATGACAGCCGCTATGGACAACCAAAATATTGGCGAGCGCTGTAACAGTTTATTTGACGGATCGAAACACAAAGGAGAGACGAAGAAATCGATGCTTTCGGGTGAACAAATTCCAAAGAAATTTCGAATTTAGAAGTTACATACGTTTTGCCAGGGTATTGACATCAAGGTTTAAGGTATTTGTCGGCTTCGAAACTAAACTGAATAAACACTCAAAATAATACACTATTCACACAATTCCTAAACAAAACGAGCACAAATATAATTACTATATGTACACAGAACTATTTACAATGTACAAATTTTACAAAACACCCGCTTTATGCCATTGGCTGATGTCGATCCTTTCCGATTTAAAAAAGACGACAATCATTCTTCAGTGCCCGTCCGCCATAATCGGTCGGTCCGGCAGATGCTATGCGCGCGCAACGCGCAGAGCAGCTATATACAAGCACAACAAGCAACACAACATAGATAAATAATTATTTGCGAACGTTTCGTTTCGGTTCGTTCTTGTTCAATAAAGTTAGGTAGAAAAGTAATGTTTTCATATTTACAATAATATTGTTAATGGTATCGATTCTAGCATGATTCTCTAAACTTAAAACTAAATTTAACATCAGTCTCTCTTCATCATGACAAGGATATACTGGTGTTGATTCTGGCATGATTCTCTAAACCGAAAATTAAATTTGACAACAGTGTATCTTTGTCATCCGCTATACAGAATGAAAAGGAGAGATTGATGTAAAATTTAGTTTTAAGTTTAGAGAATCACGCCAGAATCGACACCACTGTTATCAAATTTAGGTTTAGGAAATCATGCCGGAATCGAAACCACTAGCTAAATACGATTACAAATAGTAAAAGTATTTGCTAGAAATTATTAAATACCAAAGTCATTAATACAAGCGACAATTTTTAAAGTAATTTAGTTATGAAACTATAATATTATGGACATGGTCAAATTTAAGACAAGGCAAGGCAGGCTGGGCTACTGCTAAGAAGCCTCCACAAGGGAGCGGCCCAAACAGCAGCTACTCTTTGATTCCCCACACCCACAACAGAGAAAAATTATCCAAATTTTTATGGGTCACCAACATTATGGCCTTTTTACCAAAAACTTTTTCACATTTTGACCATTACATTTGCACAAACATAATAACAATGTTCTTATTGTTCTTTTTTATCTACAGACACTTCCCAAGTAACACATGAAAGTTGTATATCGACCAACTTACGGCATTTCTGTATCGTTTTAGCATTTTGAGTTAGTTCTTTAATAGCATTAGAAACGTTTTGACGGTTACTGTAATGCTTGTTTAGGCACAAACTATAAGACATTAGATCCTAAAGAGGTTCGGAATAGTGGTCTTTACGCATTAAATTAGCATTATTGAGGTCAATGAAGATACCGATCGTATTACAGAAGTATTTTACTGGCAATGGTATGAATCTCTTTTAAAACTAAACTTAGCATCAGTCTCTCTTTTCCATTCTATATTGAACAGAGAACAACAAGAATGTACTATTATCAAATTTAAGTTAAGATTTAGAGAACAATGTTCTGACTACATTATTATTAATAACAAAGATGTTAATTGCATTACAAAAGTAGTAGAATTAGAATGTAGTAAAAGAAATATTCAATTGAATGATGAAAAAAACTTTTATCATTGCAAAAACTTATCTAATACCACGGTCTAATGTTATACCTTACATAATTATCGTTGTAATTTTAACGGGATTTACACTACCCAATTATAAGGGCCTAATCGAAAGGGTGGGCGTGGCCCCAGGCTAGGTTAAACAATTACGTCGCGCCGATCGCCCTAAATCAGGCCCCTTACAGGGTCAGGGTAAGAGTCCCTTAAAATTGGATAGTTTAAATTAAACAGCTATTACACTACCCAATTTTTAAGGCCCTATCGAAAGGGTAGGCGTGTCCGCTAGTTAGGGTAGCAATTATTACACCGCCCTATCAATCGGACCCTAACTCATTCTGAAAGTAAAGGTTCGGGTTTTAATCGGGAATTAAAAATATCAAATTGTATAAACTTCTCTAAGGCCTTCGGCACTTTTTTCTTTATTTAAAGGGAAATATGTAAATAATAATCAAAAGTATTTAAAAATCTTACAAAAATTTAATTAAACCTAAAGGTTGGATTAGGTTACGAATTGCGTTTTATTGGGGATCAATTATTATTTTTTGTTGTTAATTTTAATATGTCCCTTATTTAAATAGTTATTGATTTCTTTTTGCCACAAAAATTATAGATCCCAATTAAAATTAAGTTACACCTCTTTCTTTTCATTAGGTGTCATTGCGCCAATAAACCAATTCAACTACTAAAACGTCCGTACTAACCGCTCTTAGAGCAACGACTGCGAGCGCCTTTATACGGCATTTCCACTACTCAATTGTAAGGGACCCTTACCCTGACTAATGCGGGATTTACACTACCCAATTTCAAGGGACCCTTACCCTGACTAAGGGTAGTGTAATGTAAGGGAGTAATTATTAACCAATTATAAGGGCCCAATTGAAAGGGTGGGAATTGGCCCACCCTTTCGATTGGGCCCTAATAATTGGGTAGTGTAAATCCCGTTTAAAGGTGGTATATCATGAGTTAACTTATAGCCACCACCAATGAAGATTGCATAGGCGAGTGAACCCCTTTCGCCAAAGTACGTGGTCATTCTGACCATGTGAGTTTTATAAAACTAGTTCACGCGCAACTGCTACCATTTTGGATCGTTCCTTATCGCGAGTCGGAGTTCCCACAAAAATGGAAAATTCTATTGTTTTCTCATGCATTAACCGATCTGCCGCTTCAATCCTGCTGGAGCATGGTGTTTCCTATCATATACAAGTATTTTTAATTTCTAAAAAGGTGGTATTCTAGTACAAAATTCAATTAAAAAAAAAGGCGCGGAATGAGGATTAAATGACAAAAATATTAGGTGGAAATTCATAGTGATGGGACGAGAAATGAATGAATGGTATTTTTGTTGCTGGAAACGTTCCACCAGTTTTAACTAAGTGCATCTACTGATACAAATAGCAAGTTAATAAAGCAAATATACTGCGACAGATTTTATTAAAAAAATAAACATTCAATCATTCACGATCTATAACTTAACCAAACAAAACTACTACATTTTAATTGAAGCACACAGAACGAATTTTAGATAAGTAATATTTCACTAGATGGCGTTATTCAGATCTTTTTTACGTATGGTATTCCAACTTCATATATATTTTTAAACAGTAACACAAAATTATACCTGTGGCTGTCAGTGACTGTAACAAAAATCAAGAAAGAAGAAATACAGTTTATCAGCATATATTATTTACAACATATTTTATTTTGAAATAATAAACTAAAGAATTGGCTGTATGGGCACAGTACCCTACCCAGAATGGGTAAAGAATCTAAAAAAAAACAACTGTAACAAAAAAAAACTGTTCCGTTTACTTTACTCTTCGTGAATTTAATGTTTTCTTGTGATTTTTGGTGGTTTTTCCGACGATTTCAGCTATTTTTCCGGACTCCGATTCTCCTGCTTTTACGTTTTGACCCCTGCTCTTCATATCGGTTATTGATTGGCTTCACTATTTGGATTTCGTTCAGCGTTGCCAGAACGTCCCAAAAGGGACGATTTTCGTCCCTTTTGTCATCAAAGCGTCCCTTCGATGTCCTTTTACATATTCCGTCCCTCTTTCCGTCCGTTTTAAATAACGCTCCACTGCAACATTAGACGAATGCATTTCGTTTCAATCATTGATTTATTTCACTAAGTTGCAATCACAATACGTTGTAGATTGTCAACTTTGTTCGTCAAATCACCAAGTAAACTACATCGAATCCAACGCTCGCTATGCCTACGTTTAATATATACCTACGCAATGCTCAAACCCACCTACCATTATCTTACCTTATAAAAACTTTTGTTTTTGAGGTATGTTTCAATTATGAATATAATAACTTAGGAATAAGTGCTTACTTTGTAAAGTCTGTGATACGTTCGTACCACCATGCTGTACCTACAACATAGTGGATAGTCCTCCGTACCATCTTCTTTATTTTATTGTGTGCCCAAAAAAATATAACTAAAATGGCGGTTTTTTTTATTTAAATGTATTATAACAGAACTACACTTATCTGTCGTGTTTGTTTTAATGCATCAGAGAGCTATCTGTTTCATAAATTTAATATGGTTAAAGTGAGATCAAGATTAAGAACAGTAATGACAAAATCAAAATGACATGGAATATTATAAACAATGAAACGAGAAAATCCAAAACCCGCAATAATAATTATAACTTAAATATTGTTAATAAAAAGGTTACATCAGATACTGAAGTTGCTACTGCATTTGAAAATTTCTTTACTGATATTCCAGTTTCAACGACTAAATCTTTGAACTCTTCCCCCGTTGCTGCCGAATCAATTTTAAGAGAAAACGTGAACACTTCTACTAGCCATTTTCATTTTAAACATGTTGACTTTAAATATGTAATAAAAACGTTTAACCAATTAAATAAAAAGAAAACGCCGGATCTATGTCGATGTTATCGTTCAACAACCGATGCCGATGATGAACTTATACAAGAAATTTTTAACGCCTTAGAGAACTCGCGGGACGCTCTAGATGTGTTTTGCAACTTGTCCAAGGCTTTTGATTGCGTTTTTCATGAAACATTACTTAGAAACTCCACCACTATGAATTAAGAGATACC